GGATGTCCCAGGGCCAGAGAGTCCTGGTGGAGGGCTGGTGGCTGGGAGCCCTGCAGTGGGGCTAGAGCCCAGTAGCGGAGCTGCCCTGTGGCAGCGAAATGGAGAGCCCAGCAGTAGAGCTGCTGCCTGGTGCCAACACTGCAGGGGTGGGAGTGAGGGGGCAGGAACCTGGAAGTGGGGACCGCCTAGCAGCGCAGCAAAAAGCCTGGCAGCCCCACTGCCTCCTGGTGGAGCTTCAGCGATGTTTAAGCCCCAGCAAGGCTTGTCGCCCAGCAGTGCAACTGGACCCCAGCAGGGGGGCTGTCCTGTAGGGGTGGAGCCTGGGCAGTGGCCAGCAGCAGGGTTGCCACAATGGGCCAGGAGCCCTGCATTCGGAGGGGCCGGTGGCAGGGGGAAGCTGGCTGGGAGGTTGGCAGCGAGGCTATGACTGGGGGGGCACAGAAATGACCTTCCCTAGTCCAGCAAAATCCATCTGGGACCAGTTAGGTCTCAAGGGTGCCGGACCAAGGAGGTCCAACCTGTAGTGTTTCAAAATGTGGTAGAGTAAGATCACGTTTCTTGATCACGTTTCTTCCTATTAAATTACCTTGTCTCATGAGAGGGACAATACTATTAAATGGTCTATATGAAGGTGTATTCTCTTTAAGTTACATGTATTGGACCCACATGTCTCATTTTACCATACTGGTTAATCTAAAGATTTAAGTACATGTTGCTCCCTGAGAAGGAGGCAGCAGAACTAATTTCAGGTATGGTCACTGTCATGAATAGGAGCTGCAAAGGAGAGTCTGATTTACCTGCAGAGCCAGGAAAGGGTTAAGCAACTTTGGAGATGATCCTGAGGGAGGGGGCTTTGAGCATGCAGCCAATGAAATGCAGATAAGGAATTTGAAACTGAGAGGGGTTCCCCCCTTTTTTTTGGGGGGGAGGAGAGGAGAGAGGGGCTCTCCCAGGAACAGACCTACTGGGTCAGACCAAAAGTCCATCAAGCCCAGTATCCGGTCTGCAGACAGTGGCCATTGCCGGGTGCTTCAGAAAGAATGAGCGGAAGCGGATCAGCGGGCAGCGTGAAACTGCCACTCCTCTCTGGCTATTGGGGTGCCATTCTACTCCTCCTCTTGAGTCCTCTGGCCTGCAGGCTTATGCTGCTTGCCAGCAGCTGGGCATAGCCCACAGGGGGCCAGCCAGGGATGGGTCAGGCAGCAGGAGCCAATGGCATTTTTTTTTTAAACCCTGTTAAAGTTGTAGCTTTTGCTGCATCCTCTGGCAAGGAGTTCCACAGGTTGACACTGCGCTGAGTGAAGGAAAAACTTCCTTTTGTTTGTTTTAAACATGCTGCTTATTAACTTCATTTGGTGACCCCTAGTTCTTATAGTGCGGGAATAAGGAAATAATTTTTCCTTATTCACTTTTTCCGTACCAGTCATGAATTTATAGACCTCTATTATATTGCTGATCTGCCCCCCCCCCC